ATCGGTTGAAATGGAATAAATTGAATTTTAATAGATACTCTTTTAATTGGAGCTATATCTAATATCTACAAAATAAACCAGCGCAAAGCAACACACAGCAACATCTAATGAATTTTGGAATTAGGAAGATTAGACATGATATTAAGGGACAGGTTGGGTGTTTTCTTTTTCTGGAAGGGCGCCCACTTTGGGCGCCCTTTATCTTTCTTTTACTGCGTGCTGTAGGCTGGACTTTTATTAATTTTGTTTTTCGTTTGATACACTGCTTGCTAGCTAGGAACGAATCCAACTGACTACCTGTGTTAATTGCTCTTAGGCTTCCAACAAAATTTTTTATTAACTCTATATTACAACTCTCATGTTTTGTTAAATCTGCAATACGGCTAAACTCCCTTTTCAGACTTTCCACTACATTTTTATGTTCTTCGCTACCTAAAACAAAAAATATTAAGCAAGTAACAATATTATAACTTTTAAATTATCTTACAAGGTTTACTTTCAATATTTTCAACATCAGTTATAGAATCCGATTGGGTTTGATTACTTGGCGTTTAAAGTGGTATTGCATTCCCCAAATGCAACCGAAAAATTTTTTGATAGCATCTTGGTGAACATGCTAAGGGGCAACTTTGCTCCAATTTAACTATCTTCGTATCTATTACGGTTTCCGAGATACCAATGATCGTGCTTCGAATTTGTAGCACCCTGTATAATAATATAATTAAATTTTGATTTATTGTTTTGCGAAAAATATAGAAAAACTAGAATTTAACAGGTATTATAAATAACAAGTATTCTGTTTGTGTCAGAGATCTTTTATAAATGAAAATGACGGTTGCAAAAACGTCTACCGAAGATCTATAATCCCTATAGTAAAAACCGTCTCTCTCTCGAAACTTTGTCTTTGCCTTCCCTTGTTATCTTAATCGCGCACTTAGAGTAATTAGAGAGAAGGAATCTAGGAAAAATGAGAGAACATCGAGCACTGACAATTGACGAAAGGAGAAAGACCAATTAAGAACGCTATCTCTCACAAAATGTACAGTTTTCTCGGAATTCTCCGAATTCTAAACAATGATCTAGAAGCGTAAACGAATGACACCTAATGTTGTGAAAGATCTCCAGCGGATATTAGTTTTAATTTAACAGAAAATTCTCATTAAGGAGCTGTGAAGCTTTAAGTGTTTAGCTTTTTAGTTTCATTAGTTTATCTTATTTTCTCATGGCAAAACTTTAGTTTTAAATTCAAAAGTATTTAATTGATAATACAGACTTCTTCTTAAGGTGCCGTGCAGATTCCTGCGTAGGCGTTCATCTTTTTCTTCCTCGTCAGATGGTTCTGTTAACTGCCGCGACTTGGAGTGCTTGGAAGTCCTGTATGCCTGTCCAATGACGAATATTTCTCAGCCAGGATAGCTTCCTTTGTCCTATCCCCTTTTGCCCCCTCTATTTTACCCTGGAGAATCAGACGCTGAAAGTGATAGCGTTCTCCACGTAGTATGTGTCCCAAATAGGCTATTTTCCTCTTCTTGATGATTTCGAAGAGTTCACGTTGTTCCAGACCAGCTCTTCTGAGAATGTCTTCATTCCTAACACGGTCGACCCAGGGCACTCTTAAAATTCGTCGTAGGGTCCACATTTCGAAGGCTTCAATTCGGTTTATTGTTGCTACCTTCTATCTACCTCTTTTCTTTATCTAAGGCCGAAGTTCAAATTCGTATCTGTGAGAAATCTTCGCAGTCTCAGAAAAGTAGATCTTGCTTGTTCGATCCTGCATTTGATCTCCTGATCCGGATCCCACGTTTCGTTAACCATGCATCCCAACTATTTAAATTGTGTGACCTGCTTGATGACCTCTCCATTTAAGTAAATTCTGGGGTCCGGAATATTGTTTCTGCTAACAGCCATAAATTTAGTTTTTGTAGTATTTATGTTTAAACCCAGTCTTTGACTTTCACTGTTTTTAGAAGGATTTGGAGATCATTTGCATTGTCTGCCAATATCACTGTGTCATCCGCATATCGGATATTATTAATTGGAATGCCATTTATTTTCAAACCAATGAGACTATCGGAGATTGACTCAGTGAATGCTCTTTCCACATATAAATTGAACAACATTGGAGACAGAATACACCCTTGCCTTACCCCCTTTTTTATTTCAAAATCTTCTGTTACTCCTACGCTATGTATACGAATTTCAGCTTTTTGGTTCCAATACAAATTACTGATGAGCCTTATATCTTTTCCATCAAGTCCCAAGTTTCTGAGGTATGATACAAGGAGGTTATGTTTAACATTATCGAACGTCTTTTCATAGTCTATAAAGCACATGAAGACATCTTTTCTCTGATCTTGGCAATTCTGTACTAAAGTTTGAAGACTGAATATGGCTTCTCTAGTACCAAAGCCGTTCTTAAATCCAAATTGACTTTCTCCACTTACTTCCTCACATTTTTTGTAGAGTCTTGTATGCAGTACCCGTAAAAAGAGCTTAAGAAAGTGGCTCATTAGACTAATAAGACGATACTCTTTACACGAAGTTGCATTACTTGACTTGGGTAGCGTGATAAACGTAGAACGAAGCCAGTCTTCAGGGATGTGACCGGTATCATAGATGTTATTGAAAAGCTGTACTATAGCTGTAAGTTTTGTTCATTAATTAAGTGGAACGTTTCCGAATACATATCATCAGGCCCTGGAGTTTTGTCGTTTTTCATTAATCTAATCGCATGAATAATTTTACTTTCCAATATGCTTGGTCCTGATGGCATGGGAATCTCAGTTGCAGGGTTTTCTGATCTTTCGTCGTTGAAAAGATTAATGGTATAATTTCTCCAAGTTTGCAATAGTTTACAGACTAATCCGAGATAATTATTGAACTAATCCACAGAGTAAAAGAGATAGATATAAGGGTCGCTTTTATGCATGATAAATATAGGAGGTACCGAAAAAAGTTAAATACAAAAGTTATAGGATTTGTAAATATCTATTAGAGAGTAATACAATTAAGTATACAGGGTCGTTCATAAAGTCGTAGCACATCAAAAAAAGTTTCCTCTTTAGCCGACCATACCAACAGGTATGGTAGGCTATTAAGATTGGCAAAAAAAGTTTTTTTTTAATTTCACTCAAAATGAGTTATTTGAGATACGTTTTAAAAAATATTCAGAAATTATTATTTCAAGGAATTTATTACGAGTAGAAAAAACATTGTGCTGGATTAGTGTTGCACAAGAGTCTTGAAAAAGTCTTGCAAGAGCAAGACTCTTGCAAGAAATTCAATTCTTGAATTTCAAGACAAGACAAGACTTTAATATGCAAGAAATTTCAAGAGTTTTGCAAGATTTCTTGAAAGTTAGAAATGATACATTTTTTTAAGTGATAATTAGGTCTTTGCGCAAGTTATGCCGGGTTTATACAACATTTACATAATTAATTTCATAATCACAATCATAGTCATAATCACAAAAGTTAAACTGTCCACTTCTTATAAATCTGTTGACATCTACCATAAACTTAGCCTTTAATTATGTTACCGAACTTCACTGATATAACAATTATGATTATGAAAATGTTCTATAAACGCACATTAAAATTGCGTTGTGATTATGACGATGATTAAGGCTGTGATTATGATTACGACTTATGCAAATGTTGTATAAACCCGGCACTGACCAGTGTTTTGGTATTATACACAAAATTATATTGGTATAATGGTATTATAAAAAAATAACAGTAGTTGAAACTAATGGTGGGTTCGTGGAGCACGCTATTTGCGCTATTTGGTACGACTTTTCATGTATGAAATTGCTCCGCGAACAAAAAGTGGTATCAAATAGCGCAAATAGTACACTCTAACATGACCTTTCCGTACACCCTGTTTCCAAACTTTTCCAACCAATCTTCCATAATAAAAAAATAAAATAAATACCATAAAAAATAAAAGTAACAAAGGGGTAACCAAAATAGGACATAATAAACTAACAAGAATTAACAACTAGAACTAAAAAATGAACTTATGGAAATTCATCCATCCAGGAATTCAAACAAAGTTTCTGTGTTTCCTTATTACCAGTGCTGATTTCGAAAAGAGCCTTTCTACTGGAACAGAAGTAGCAGGTGTACAAAAAAAATCTAAATAATAACCCAAAACGGTTTTGGGTTTCGGCAAAACCCATAAATCGAACTTAACCTTACTTATTCTTATATTCTTATTCAGCTTTTATTTGGTAATGGCTCCTGTTTCATCAAACGGGCGATTTTTTTGCGATTCAAAAACGATTTTTTTGCTAAAATTAGCATCGTTGTTGTTCATTTTTGGTATTACATTTAGTATACGACGCTTTCTAAGAAATAAAATATAGAAATATTATTACCTTTCTGTTAGAATGTAAAATTTCAAAAGACAAGAAATTGCAAGAATCTTGCAAGACAAGGCAAGACTTTACCATTCAAGAAATCTGCAAGACAAGACTTTGAAAATTTCTTGTCTTGAATTTCAAGACAAGACCAGAAATTGATTTTCAAGACAAGAATTCTTGTCTTGTGCAACACTATGCTGGATTGGTGTTGGTTTCTATGTAATTTGACAAATAAATAAAGCTGTCTCTTTAGTTGTCAGTTTTGAGTCAATATTTTTTAATTCTCTTTCGTGTCGATTGCTGATTGAATTGGAACCAGAAATGGCTCAAAACGAAATAAGTAAACTACCAACAGATATTCAGGCTGAGGCGACAAACGCCATATCCAAACTATTTCTTTTCTACTACTATTTAAATCCCGAATAACTTATGAAAAGGAATACAAAAATTTTCAAAAATAGAAGCAATTAGAAAACGTTCGAGAAGAAATAATTTTTTTAACCTATCCTCGCTGTTAAAGTATAATTTAGTCCACCTTTGCGGTTAAAGCACTATTTTATCTACTATTTTTGATAGATATAAGGCAATTTTAACAGTTGCTATGGAAAAAAATAACCAACTCTATTATTTCTTTTAGCTAATTCCCTTGAGAGACCTACACAAGCATGTCCTCTTATTGGCAAATTCGATATCAGCAAACTGCTTCGAATAGAAAACAATGCTTATTCCAAGCATAATCAGCAAAGCGAAGATGATCCGTACTATGATAAACGCTACAAACTGAAGAACATTGTGCAACCGTTCTCTGAAGAAGGACCGGCATTTCGAAGAGTGAAAAGAGTGGACTCGAACAGCAACTGCGATAGTCAGGCTTTTACTGGTCTGGTAGTAGGTTGTAATAAGTTGGATACCATGGAGTTTGATGCGGATTGTTCTACGCCAGATATTATTACAGGTTAGTTTCATTTTAACCACAAATTAACAACGGGTAATAGATATTTACGATACAAGTGAGTTATAGTCTGTGAAACGAATAACTTTGAATTTGACAGTTCCCGCGGGCTTTTCTAGTGTTAATTTTATTAGGTTAGCGTGGTTGCGGCTAAGTATGACGCAATGCCGTCTCCAAATAGAACAGTACACAGAGCGAGATTAATGAAAAGGAACTCATAACATACACACACCGGAAAAGTCTAGGGATATTACAATTTTATCCAGCCATCGTCAGTAATTTTATTATTTGCATTTCTCATATAATAAAATTAAAATAAACAAATAGTTTACAGGACGTATTGGAAATAAAAATGCGAAATTTACCGAATTTTTCAAATTTACCTTGATTTTTATTGAACTCAAAAAAATACACACATTTTTTTTTTATTCTAAACTGTGAATTAAAAAAAAAGATAAAACCATTTTTACTTAATAAAGGGTATGGTCTCCTCTACTGTTCATTACAGCCCTATATCGTCTCTCCATGCTCCTGATCAGGTTGTCGATCTCTTCTTGAGGTACAGCCTGCCACGCTGCATTCACGGCCCGAACCAGATCCCTATGAGTTTCACGAGGCATACCCATTCTCAAAATTCTTCTTTGGACCGCGTCCCATACATGCTCGATGGGGTTCAGGTCAGGAGATTGTGCCGGCCAGGGTAAGATGTTTAATTGATGAGCATTGATAAACTCACTTACCACTCTGGCTGTATGAGGCCGTGCATTGTCATGCATGAGAATGAAGTTTCTCCCAAAATCATTGGCATATAGTAACACGACAGGCTCAAGAATTAAATCACGATATGTGATTCCTGTTGAAACCCTTCAAGAAAAACGAGAGATCGGTTTTTCGGCCTAACTGGACTCCTCCCCAGACCATAACTGTTCCACCTTGATAAGGGTGCACTTCCTGAACATGATCCAACCGAATAAGATTTCCCGGTTCTCTCCATACCCTAAGCCTTCTCGAATCCCGATGAATTCCAAAGCGTGACTCATCCGTGAAGAGAACATTGGCCCATTGTTCATTCGACCACTGAACATGATCTTGAGCCCACAAACATCGTACCTCTCGATTTCGTCTCGTTAAGGGTTGAGCTCTCCAGGGGCGTCTGCTTCTTAAGCTGACCTCCCTTAATCTATTGCGAGCAGTGTCAGGACTAACGGTTACATTATGTGTTTCCTGGAGAATTAAAGTAAGCTCTGGTGCTGTAAGAGTCGGTCGGCGTCGAGCATTTAATTGTAAAAAATGATCTTTCACCACCACTTTCACGGTAGCGTGCACTTAATCGCACTTTGCGTTGTATTTAATGCTCTAGCTACGTCGATTTGGCGCATTCCAGCTTCGTGCATACCCATGGCTCTTAGCATTTCGTCTCTGTTAAGATGTCTACGCTTGATAATGTTGTTTAATACTAAACAGAGTTATTTGAATGAATTCTGGTCAGTTATCATAAGAACATAGCCAGTACAGATTAAATTCGAACAACTGATGCTAGGTGCTTTTTATATATTCAACACTTCTGCAAATATCCCAAATTTAGAAATAACTAGTGTGACTACTTTGTTTCAATCGAAGTAGAAAGAATCGGCCTACAAATATGTGGTTGTTTATTCAAAACATTTATTTTTAACTTTAATAAAATGATATCCCTATATTTTTCCGGTGTGTGTATTTTTCCTATTTAGTGCAAAATGTTTTACAAATTATTTTTTCTCTCTTTGGTAATCATCTAAACAAGGAGTGCGGTATTGAAAATGCGTGAGTTAAGAAGTTCTTAACTCACTCAAAATGCGTGAGTTAAGAGCTTCTTAACTCACTGACGGTAGATAAAATCCTTTTTGAAACTGCCAAACACTACAAATTGATTTACTGCATTTGTAAAAGAACTAACTGCTGCTCTATTTAAATAATGTAAGTAAAGTTCGCAGCCAAAAGAGAAGTTTTCCGTTATATTATACGTTTCCGTAAATTCTTTAAAGAGCGGCAGACCAACCAGCGATTCTCAATAACTTTCTTTCGGTTAGAACAGTGGAAATAGCTGCAACGGACGCCTTGCTCTCGCAAACTCCTTCAATTTTTCTTTATTTAGCAACGTCGATCGAATGAAATATTAATATTTCCGATGGAAAGATGTTGTCGGGTTCTCCTTTGGTGGAGAGCCTCGTTTGGGAAATGGGAAAAATGAATATTTAACAGTTGGATCGAGTTCGGAAAACAAAACTTATACAAAGTAACTCCTAAAATAATTATAGTTATCGTATTTTAATAAATGAGATGGCCTAATGTTTCAAAGCATAGGAATTTCGACATATTTTTATTTCGTTAGTAGCTGCAGAATATGTCAATAATTTGTATTGATACTATCTCTGGAGTCTGCCGATTTTTGGCTATGAATTATTATTAGACATTATCATCATCATATTATGAATCTTATCGTACTAACATATAACCAGCTCTAAGGTAACTTACACTTTCGTCCTACCAAACGAAGATCTTTCAGTAATTGTAAAGCACTCTGCATTTGCTATATAGTTTAGTAGCAACAAATACATTAGCACTCGTATTATACAGGGTGTACTCCGAAAACTCCAGCAGAATATTCTGCACATAAAAATAAGTAAAAAGTTCGTATAAATTTATGTCCTGAAATGCTTCGTTTAAGAGATACAGGGTGAAGAAGTTTCATATCTATTACGTTTTTTTCCAAATAATTTCTGAAATAACGTCAATATTTTGATGAAAATTGGTATATGGTAGTTTTTTGACATGTTAAATTTGATTTTGATGTCAATATGACTCCTACTTGTAGGGGGCGCCACCTACATATGTTTTAACGTGGCTAAAGTCATATTCAAGACCTGACTGTTTTGACAGTTCTACCGAAGTGGTCCAGAATTAGTAGTCGTAAACAAACCAATTGTTTTCATTAGTTTCGCAACAAATGTGTGTTTTTTACGCGTTTCTATGCTAATAAAATTATACTAAATAATTTTGAGTGAATAGTGAACTATCTAGATCCGATTCATAACATCGTACCCGCGAAAAAAACCATACTTTCGGTAAAAATTATAGTGTGTGTCCGGACTAGGAAACAGTTGGGGAATTTATATAAAAACATAATTTTTAGGTTTAACACTATACACTAACGCTATTAGTGTTAGTGTATAGTGTTAAACCAACGTAAGTGACGTGTATTTCTATGTAAAACAGTTTTCGTTTCTTTATTTTTACTTTGTGAAATAAAAAATTCCGCGACATTGTTCTGTGTCTGTGCCTTGTAGCAGCAATTATAATAAGTCCTCAGGATCTGTCTACATTCTCTTTCCCAACAATATTAACTGTAACTAGGTCACGTCCAAAACCTACAGAACTTGCTGTGCCTACAATTTTTCCAAATCAACCCTCTTATGAACCCTCTGTGCATGTTCCCATAAAGAGAAAACGTCCCGATGAAAGAAAACAAGATTTGGAAATTCAGGATGAAATAAATATTGAAAAGTATTATTATTATTATGAAATGGCAAATATATTTTAAAGAAATTAAATGAATTTGTACTTTATTTCAGTATTTTATATAAAAAAAATGATATCATTATCTTTTTATTTACGATTTATGGAGATGGTTACTTGATGAACATCGAACTACAAATTACTTAATCTTAATAGTTAGTTCTATCTGATATCCACATTTTTTAAATATGTTACGCAAATTTTTACAATTATTTTTAATTAAACTTTAAAATGTATTCTGCCGTTATCATATACAATACATTTTCTTAACTTGTCGATAAACGTATAGTTTTCAAATTTTTTAATATTTGGAAACTTTTTATCACAGGTATATTATCACTAGTTGCTAAATACTCGCTAACGCAATTTTAGGACACGCTTTTTATTATCTAGATTTAATTTTTTCATCTTATGCTGTAGTTTATGTCATATTAATATTCGTGCTTTAGATCTAAATTTTAATGCTATTCAGTTACTTTAACGCGATAAAAAGTTAATGTTATTTTTTAATACCTTTCTGTATAATATTTTTCATATTTATATCTGGCAAAACTATCAATAAATACTATTATTTATGCAAAACCTATATGCAGTACCATATGGCACAATACAAAAGCCGGACTAGTACGGTGACGTCACAAATCGATGTCTCTGGCCTGTCTGCCATGTTGGTCATGGTTTTAACAGTTTTAAAGAGTTATAACATTTCGTCCGTACCTGAATAAACGTTCTCAAGACATTTAGAATGGAAATGATCAATACATGTCATTATTGCCAAAAAATATACTTGTTGAGTAGATAGTTATTTGACTGAAATGATAAATTTGGGAACTTTTTATTTTATATATAAAAACATTTCAAATTTATGTTCTCACTCTAATAACTATTTAAAGAAGGATCCGTTCTTCTCAAAGACACCTGGTTTAAATTTTAAAAAAAGTCTCAAGGTCTCGCGTTCTCAACGTTTATATTAATCTGAACAGTGACACGTGTTTCGCTCATAAAAGCATCATCAAGCACACGTTCACATTTTACACATTAAAAGAAAAAACAACAAATACTCAGTGTGTGGATTGAATTTAATTATATTTTGTCTGATGCAAAACACTGTTTAGATTAATATAAACGTTGAGACCGATACTTTTTCCTCTTCTTTTTAATCATTATTTAGTCAACATATTTAATTTATGTCAATGATGACAGGTATGGATAATTTCGATTCCAAATATCTCGAGAAACATTACTCGTAGAGATTTTTACCAAGAGACCTTTTTTTACGTAAAAAGTCACGAGAATGTATATTTTTACTCAGTAGTTTTATATAGGTACGGACGAAAAGTTATTACTCTGCAAACTAGTTAAAATATATGTAGATGGCGCCCTCTAGATGTAGGAGTCATATTGACATCAAAATCAAATTTCCCATGTCAAAAAACTCCCAGATACCA